GTCCTTTTTCTGAATGTGGACAGCGTTTTCCATCATGAGTCCTTTGAAGATGTCTTGGAGCCTTGTGGTGCTGAGAAGAGCTAAGGGATCAGAGTCAGTCACTGCACAGTGTTTGCCTAGGATTTATAGGCAGGCTACCACGTCATTGACACATCTCCTCATTTGGGCTCTTTGCCTGCCTTGATGCTGTCGATGTCTTTCTCTTGACTTACTAATGTTGCTAATGTTACCAGCCTTATATTGACGATGAAGGGGGGAGTGGGCATCCTTGCTTTGCTCCTGTGTTGATCAGTCAGTGAAGATGCACAGAGGTGGGTTCCTGGAACAGCAAGGAAGCTGGGGATGCTGGCTTGTGGAGGGCCGGCCTGGATGGTGGGAAAAGTGTCACAGTTGGGTTCTCTGCATCGCTCCAAATTCCTTTTCCACAGTGCCCATATTGATGGACGATGCGCAAAGTAAAGGGGCTGCACACCTGACCTGGAGAAGGGCAGAGAGCTGACTCTTGGAGCTAGAGCCCAGTGGGCCTCTCCCTGGGATCTTGGGGAAATTTTGCAAGGGCTCCTTTGAGAAGGGGCCCATGAACGCCTTGAGAGAGATGCTGAGCTCCACCCGGAACAGGCCAGGCCCAGCCTTATCTCCTTTTTTTTTCTGATGCCAGGCTTGGGTCTGTCAGGTGGCTTCCCAGGCACAGTTGTCGGGGGGAAGGAGGCGGGATGTGGTAGTTCTTGCTGACCCTTGTGGCTTCCTGGGGCCTCCAGGACTTGACTCGACTTGGGCCCTTAGCCAGGCCTTACATAAGGGCCTCCAGTCTCTTTCCAGATGTGTAAGCAAAGCTCTGCTATGACAGAGGGAACTGTGGTGTGACTGCATGTCTGCTGGCCTCAGTTTCCTCATCTGTCAAATGGAGATCATCTCAATGCCTACATTCCAGTGTTTTTGTGAGGATCCAATGAGATAATAAGGCATACAGGAAACACTTAATAAGTGCTTGTTTCCTGCCCGCCCCCCCCCCAGTGTGTATCACTGGAGTGAAGGGACTCCTTTCCATTTCAGATTGGTTTGACACTCCAGTTGCCCTTAACTGAATTTGTGCCCCAAAGTCCCTTTTGTTTCAGTCAATAAGCAGGTGCCGAGACTGGGGGTACCAGGAGAAGCAAAAACAGTACATGCCCTTAGTGAGCGAGACAGGAGGCAAACCCCTAGGTAGATGCAGAAAGCTAGGTGGTGCAGTGGTCAGAGCTGCTAGCTGAGTGGCCTCGGGCACCCCCCTGAACTTCAGTCTCCCTCAGTTTCCTCACTTGTAAAACTGGAGTGAGGACTGCCCCTGCCCCCAGCATCGTGTGAGGCTAAGAGAAGGTTATCTGTGAAGTGTAAGTGGGAGGTACTCTCAGAAGGAGGACCCCAAGCAAGGCCTCCCATGGAAGGGGGGGTAGCCGGGAGGTAAAGGTGAGGAGACAGAGTGCCAGTATGAGGCATGGCATTGGGAGACGCAGGGTCTTGTGCCACTGGGTCACAGAATCCATGGAGAGCCAGGCGGGGGGTTTTGTCTTGGGTGGTGGAGATGACAGGGAGCTCTGGGGCTCATTGATAGAGGGCTGTATGGGTCAGCTGTGCCCTCGGGGAAGCTCGCAGCTGACCTTCATACATGTTTGTCAGCTTGTCAGTGGGATGGGAGTAAGTCAAGGAACTGGAAGGGGTTAGACTCGATTGGAGTCCCCCAGTGTGAGGCCAGGAGCTGTGCAGGAAGGGGAAATTGTGAGCCAGGTGCTCAGTTCATAGAGCAGTCTTGAGTGGGGAGTAGATGTGGATTGAGAGGGCAAGTGGCAGGGGGAGGGGAGCCATGACGTGACCAGTGAGATCAGTGCAGCTAGGGAGGGGGGAAGGGAGGCCAGCAGGCCGAGTCCTGGGCAGGAGGAGTCAGAGGAAAAGATTTGTGATGTTAGGCACTCCACAGAGAGCCATAGAAGGGGCAGGGAGCTTTGGGGGTGATGGGAGCAAGAGAACGGGGGTAGGGGTGGCAGGTGGGGTGTATGCTGTGACGGTGGGGTTCAAGACCACTGAGATGCGGAGAGTAGGTGTGTGGCCTCCACAGTCAGTCAACACGCTGCCTCAGGCTGCAGTTGAACCAGGTACAGGCATGCAGGTAGAGAGGAGAGGGGCTGGGGTAAGCTAAAGACGACCCGTCTGGACTGGCAGCAGGCCCAGGAGTGTGCCTGGAGGGCTGGCACAGCAGTAGATCTAGGCAAGGATCCTGAAACGGTTCAGATACACAGTTTCCCAAAGCATTTGGCAAACTCTGCTCACACCCCGGAGTTTTCATATGTTGCCTCTCTTATCATTTTTGATTAAAAAAAATTCTGTTATTTCTCTGACTTATTCTTTTCTCACAAACCCTATATGAAGAAGTCTATATTTGTTTGAATTCTTTTTTCAAGTGCTGTTTTTATTGATAATTGCCGCTTATCTGGTATTGTGGCCAGTGAAGTCAGTCATCTTATCTTTCTGCTGTCATGCATTTGTTAAAGAGGGTTTTGTTCCCCAGCGTGAGTTTCCTTTTTCTCCCCCCCCCGATTGCCTTGTGCAGGTGAGAATGTATCTATTCCTCTCTGTTCCCGATTAATTGATTAACTTCACTGCACTTCTGTTCCTGTCCCTCCCCTCTTCCTTGTCTCTGGAAGGGCTCTGTGAAGCTGTACTGTCTCGTGTTCTCCTCCCAGCGTCTGGGCGCTCGACTCTCCCGGTCCCGTCTGTAATTTTTAATAGTAGGTGTTCATTGGCATCCTTTGCTTTTACTTCATCTAGCCTTCACTTGTATCTCTTCCTTTCTCTGCTACCAGCGTCGTGCCTTCAACAGAGGCATAAGAGTGGAAAAAGTCCGCAAAACTGTTGAGCACATGGAGGAACCTTGGCCTTCCTGGCCCTTCCTTGGACCCGCTGCTTCTGCCAGGGAGTGGGGAGAGCCATCTTCTCCCGCCTCGTCCTTGGGGCAGTGTGGTTCTTTCATCACGGCGCTTGGGAACTGTGCTTCCCCGGTCCTGCTCCATCGTCAGTTTGGATAGTATCTCATTATCTATGTTGCCTTTAATCAGAGTGCAGCCCTTGTCTCAGATTCTGATGGCTCCTTCCCCATTTTTTTCAGGTTCACTTGAAGCATAATAAATTCCCCTCCAGGCCCTGCTCTGAACTCCTTGTTAGCCTCCAGTTTGTGCTCTTCCGTGCCTTCTGCTCCCCATCTCTGGGGGGCAGCACCGTCATTGTGGATGCCCTCCATCTGAGTTGGGACCTGCAATGGCCTCGGCTGGGCCTACTCCTTGGGTTCTCCCCCCTTGCTCTCGTCGGACCCTTGGGCCATCTCTTCTTTGACCTAGAAGCTCCAGGCTTCGCCCATGACATTCCTTATGGTTTTTAATCCAGGGTTTCTTTCAGGAGGTGATGGATGGATCTTGTCCCTTGGCTCTAATCCATCTCTGGGGTTTTTATGATTTCTTGAGTCAGGGTGACCAGAGCCTTTGGGGTTTGGTTACTGTTTTCAGGGAGTCCAGTGATTCCTCAGTGATCTCTCCTGGACCTCTAACCCAGTTCCGTTTTTCATCGCAAAGCCTTAAGTTTTCTTTATGTTTTCTAATACTCGGCCTTATTATAGTATTTCTTACTAATTGCGGAGTCACTGAGTTCTGTTTCCTCTGTTCTGTTTTCCAGAGAGTCCCCCCTTGGGTAAGGTTTTTGACCTTCTGTTTTAAGCTGATTCTTCTCCTTCCATTTTTTCCTCGAGAGGTAACATTTTCCCTTTTTCTGTCTTCCTTTGTGCCTTCCAGTCTCTCGTGGACACTCTCTGTTGTCCTTAGGCCCGTCCCTCTCCTCTTGTGCGTCTTCTGCACCGCCTCCCCTCTCTTCTGGGTGCTCTCCCCCACCTCTAGCTCTGTGTTCAGATTTGGGGAAGGCCAGACTCTGCCCATCCTGCCTCCCTGGCTGTGTCCCCTGCTGCCTGGCACACGTCCTCCTGCAGCACTTGGGGATTGAGTGGGCGGCTTAGTAGGTAGCGCCCTGGGAGACCCGAGCCCAAATCCAGACTCAGACACTTAGCAGCTGACCCTGCACAAGTTACTTTATGTCTGTCTACCTCAGTTTCCTCATCTTTAAAATGGATGGGGGTCACAGTAGTACCACCTTTCAGAGTTGTGAGCGTCAAATGAAATATTTGTGAAGTGCCGGGTCCAGAGTAAGCACTTGATAAATCAGTCCATCTGTCCTCCCTCCTCATCCTAGGCCAAAATCCCTGGTGTCACAGCCTGTCTTCTGTGGCCTCTACACAGCTTTGGCCTTGGCCCGTCCTCTCCTCCTTCCCACACAAATCCTGCCTCGAGGAGGTCAGGGGCCTCCTGCAAGCCCCAGGGGGTGCTGGCATTTTCTCGGCTCTTTTGTGCCTGGCAGGGTCCCTTTGATCCGCTCCAACTCCTGGCCTCCCTGGCTTTTTTTAAAGTCCCAGCCAAAATCCCACCTCCTCTAGGAAGCCTTTCTTCTGGCATCTATCTCCTAACGATCCTGGATATTGCTTGTTTGTGTGTATTTGTTAGCTTGCCCTCTGCCCAGTTAGATTGTGAGCTCCTTGAAGGCAGGGACTATCTTATCCCCAGCACTTGGCACAGGGCCTGGTAGACAGTAGGCACTTAATTAATGTTGTTTGATTGGTTGATTGACCTGTACTCCCACTGAACCTCTCTTATGCCGTGGTCTGGTACTGTTCAGTTCCCTCCCAGTGTCCACAGTATGCTGTTTCTGCAGTTCTGAAGGGTGGGTGCCAGATCGGCCACTTTCTCAGCTTCCCCCACTCAGGCCTAGTCCAGAGGAAAAATCCATCCTTGGGAGAGTCCTGCCAGATCCTGTTTCAGAAAGGGTCCTGGGCCCTCTCAGGGCTGAGGCAGATGCCCCGCAAAGGCAGCTGCCAGAAGAGCTCTGGCTGGCCGGGGCTTTGAAAGGGCCTTCGCTCTGCTTTTTCCTAGGTGCGTCCAAGGAAGGTGGTGCCGGTGCTGTGGATGAAGATGACTTTAGGAAAGCCTTTGCAGAGGTTCCTTCTGTCCAGGTAGGATGCTTGACACCCATCTGTCTGTCTCTGTCTGTCTCTGTGTCCATCTCTGTACTTCTCTCTGTCTCTGTGTCTGTCTCTGTCTCTCTGTCCTTCTCTGTCTCTGTCCCTCTTTCTCTTTCTCTCTGAATCTGTTTGTGACTGTGTCTGTCTATCTCTCTGTCTCTCTCTTTCTCTCTGTCCTCTCTCTCTCTCTCTCTCTCTCTGTCTCTGTCTGTTTCTCTCTGTCCTCTTCTCTGTGTCTGTTTCTGTCCCTTTCCTCTCTCTGCCTCTGTCCTTGTCTCTGTTTGTGACTGTCTGTGTCTGTCTCTGTCCTTCTCTGTGTCCTTCTCTGTCTCTGTCCCTCTTTCTCTGTCTCTCTGAATCGGTCCGTTTGTGACTATCTTGTCTGTCTCTCTCTCTTTCTCTCCGTCCTTCTCTCTCTCTCTCTCTCTCTCTCTCTCTCTCTGTTTCTCTCTGTCTCTGTGTCTATCTCTGTCTCTCTGTCTGTTTCTCTCTGTCTATACCCGTCTCTGTCTCTGTCTCACAAACCCTCTGAATCATGTAGGGCACAGCTCCACAGTCCTTTCTCAGCAGTTCTGACTTGGTGGCCTTCCTGCTGCCTGTGGGTCAGCCCTCCCTCTGCAGTGAGCCTCTGTGATTGCATTGGGTGGGCATCCCGGCAGCATCAGTTTGACACCCGAGTTCTGGAGCACTTTTGCCTATGCAGCGCGGATGGCTTTCCCTCGCCAGGGTTCAAGGTGGTCCCTTAAAATCAGGGCTTCTGAGAAGGCGTTGCACGAGTGTCCGTAGCCGCCACCCAGGGACTGAGGTCTCTCTAGGGAAGCTTGTGAGCCACCTGTCAGTTGTGATTTAGGTATTTAAATCTAGCCACGTGAAAAGGCCGCACCTCTGAGAGGGGTCCTCAGGCTCAGTGCGTGCCTGATCGTGGAAGGTTTTTAGATGAGGAGGTGTCAGCAGACTACGAGTCCGCATCACGACTTTGTCTGAGTGTGCGTGGCCATGTGGTTGGTCTTGCCTCTGTTCTCAGGAGCCGACCCCCCAGTCCAGAACAGAGTCCTTAGCTTCGGCCTCAGTGCCTCCCACTGCAGCTGCCCTTACATGCTGTGCCTTGTGTCCGCACACGTCACCAGCCCCTCTGGGTCCGCTACCACTATGGCTTTGCTCATCCTCTGTTCTGTACTGGGGATTTTCTGCAAAGCCGATCCCTGCTCTGATGGCTTCCCATTCAGGGATGAGCCTTGTCCTTCACCTCTTCTTCCCCTCATCCTTTCTGTCCCATTAACTCTCTTCTGTATTGATTTGTGTTGAGTCACAGCATCCCCACGAGACAGCCATGATCTCAGTGAGCGGTCTGAGATGGCCCCGTTGGGTGGTGGGTGGAAGGCCAGCCTTGTTGTGGCCGGAGCAGCTATGTGCCCAGAACCGGCACCTTCCTGCCAGCCTGAGTCTCAGACCAGGCTCTCATCTGCCTTGCTGGCTTTTCCCTTCCCTGATGAAATGCCAGGTCTAGCCTCAAAAACCAAATTGTGTCTGTCTGTACCCCCATGCATTCCCTCTCACCTTCCCCCGCTTCCCCTTCCACTGCAAGAGACTTTTCTTTTCTGGGTTTTTTTTTTTGTGAGATAATTTACCCCATTCTGCCTCTCCCTTTCCGCCTCTCTGAGTACAATCCTCTCTCATCCCTTAATTTTATTCTCCAGACATGACCCCTCAATCTTCAGCTCACCCTGTGCCCTCCATCCACCCATCTACATATACATACATATAATTTTTTTTCCTCCAACTACCCTGAGACTGACAAAGGTCTCATGAGTTATAAGCATCATCCTTCCATGCAGAAATGTAAACAGTTCAATCTTAATAAGTCTCTTATGATTTCTCTTTCCTGCTTACCTCTTCATACTCCACCTGAGTCCTGTATTTGAAAGTCAAATTTTCTATTCAGCTCTGGTCTTTTCATCAAGAATGCTTGAAAGTCCTCTATTTCACTGAATAACCATTTTTCCCCCTGAAGGATTATACTCAGTTTTGCTGAGTAGGTGATTCTCGGCTGCAGTCCCACCTCCCTTGCCCTCCAGAATACCATATTCCATGCCCTGTGGTCCTTCAGTGCAGAAGCTGCCAAATCTTGTGTTATCCTGATTGTGTTTCCACAGTACTCAAACCGTTTCCCTCTGGCAGCTTGTAACATCCTCTCCTTGACCTGGGAGCTCTGGAATCCGGCTATAACATTCCTAGGAGTTTTCCCTTGGGGATCTCTTTCAGAAGGAGATCTGTGGATTCTTTCAATTTCTATTTTGCCCTCTGGTTCTACTACATCAGGGTAGTTTTCCTTGATAATTTCTTGAAAGATGATGTCTAGGCTCTTTTCTTGATCATGGCTTTCAGATAGTCCAGCAACCTTTAAATTCTCTCTCCTGGATCCATCCTCCAGGCCAGCCGCTTTTCCAGTGAGACATTTCACATTGTTTTCTAATTTTTCATTACCCTGGATTTGTTCTACTGTGTCGTGATTTCTCACAAAGTCACTATCTTCCAATTGCTCCATTCCAATTTTCAAGGAAGTATTTTCTTCAGTAATCCCCTGGACTTCCTCTTCCGTTTGGCCAATTTTTCTCTCTTTCTAGGGCATTTTTCTCCTCATTGGCTTTTTGGACCTCTCCTGCCATTTGGGTCAGGCTACTTTTTAAGGTGTTATCCTCTTCAGTATTTTTTTGGGTCTCCTTTAGCAAGCTGTTGACTTGTTCTTCATGATTTTCTTGCATCACTCTCATTTCTCTTCCCAGTTTTTCCTCTACTTCTCTTACTTGCATCTCAAAATCCCTTTTGAGCTCTTCCAAGGCCTGGGACTGGTTCATACCTTTCTTGGAGGCATTGGATGTAGGAGCTTTGACTTTGTTGTCCTCCTCTGGTTGTATATCTCGATCCTCTTTCTCATCAAAGTAAGATAACATAGTCCGACTCTTCCTGCGCTGCTTGCTCATGATCCCGGCCAATTACTTGAGTTTTAAACTCTTTGTTAAGATAAGAGTCTGCTTCCAGTGTGGAGAATGTGCTGTCCCAAGCTTCATGGGGTTTGTACAGCTGTTTTCAGAGATACTTGTAGGGACCTGTAAATTTTCAGTTCTTCCAAGGTGGTATGATAAGGGGCGAGGTGTTTACTCCTTTCCTGGCCTGTGACCACAAATATTCCTTTCTGTCCTGTAATTGTGAGGAAGGGTTCCTCTCCACAGCCACTCCAAGCTCCACCACGCCAGCACTCCTCCTCACCCCAGCACCGCCGCCCAGAACTGTGGCCCAGATCCAAACATGGGCAAAGCAAGAGATTCCTGCCTCAGCACTGGCAAAGAGATCCATGCAATCCCTCTCTGATCAGCCACTGGATTCCCCCTCAGTCTGTGGGCTGGAAGCTCAGGAAGCAGCTGCCGCCCCCCCTCCCCAGCTCCACACTGTTGGGAAATGGAGCTGAAACCCCACCTTCCTCTCTGAGCACCAACAGAAACAGACTTTTCCCACTGACCTTCTAAGTTGTCTTTGGCATTGGTGGATTGAGGAGTCTGGAAACCTCCACAGCTGCCCGTGATTCACTCCTCTGAGGCCTGCTCCAGTTTCGCTGCGGCCTACGCGCCCACGCTGTGCTGCGCTCCCAGCCCGGCGCGATACACCTTTCTGATCAATCATCCAGGTTGTCTTGGGCTAGAAATTTGTTTCACTCTGTCTTTTTGTGGGTTCTGCTGTTTCAGAATTTGTTTAGAGCCATTTTTTATGAGTATTTGCCAGGGGTTTGGAGGAGAGCTCCAGCAAGTCACTGCTTTCACTCCGCCATCTTGGCTCCGCCTCCCAGGAAAAGCTTTTGACAAAATATAGCACACATTCCTGTTACAAACCCTTAAGAGGAGTGGGTGAAACAAGGAAAAGGAGGGCAAGGGGAGAGGATAATGGAGAGATGCTTTAGAAGAGTGTGGAAGAGGGAGGGGAGTGATGAGAAGTAAACTGGAGGAGGGATAGGGTAAAAAGAGAGGCTGAGAAAGGCAATAGGGAGGCAGATGTATGAATAAGTATAATTTTTAGTGTGTATGGGATGCACGTACCCGTACGGCAGAGTGGATTAAAAATCAGATTCTGACAACATGCTGCTTACAAGAAACACATTTAAAAGTAATAGAGACACACAGTTAAAATAAAGGGCTGGAGGAGAATGTAGTGTGCCTCAGCCAATGCAGAAATGCAGGGGTAGCAATCATGATGTCAGACAAAGTCAAAGCTAAAATATATTTAAGAGAGTTAAACAGGGAGGCAACATTATGATAAAATGTACCATAGATAATGAAGCAATATCAATACTAAATACTAAATTTATACGCACTAAATATCACATCTAAATTTTTTAAAGAAAAGTTTAATGAGTTAACAGGTAGAAATAGTACTGCAATAGTGGAGGACTTTAATCTTCCCTTCTCAGACTAGACAATTCTAAACGAAAAATAAATAAGAAAGAAGTTAAGAAAGTGAATAGAATTTTAGATAAGCTAGGTATGATATATGGAGACAACTGAATGGAAATAGAAAGGAAGACACCTCTTGCTCAGTAATACGTGGTACCTTTACAAGGATTGACCATATATTAGGGCAAAAAAATTTTATAGCTAAAAGTAGAAATATCAAACATTCCCTTTAGAGATCACGGTGCAGTAAAAGTTATGTTTAATAAGGGACCAAGGAAGCATAGGGAACTAATTGGAGACTAAACAATCTAATCTTAATGTATGGGTTAAAGAACCAATAATAGAAATAATCAGTTATTTCATTAAAGAAAACAGCTAATGAATCAACACATCACAACCTATGGGATACAGGGAAAGCAGTAATCAGGAAAATGTATGTCTCTAAGTGCTTCTATCAGTAAAAAAGAGAAAGACCAATGAACTGGGTATGCAGTTTAAAAAAAAATTAGAAAAAGAACCCATTAAAAATTCTCAAACTAAATTGGAAAT